TCTGCCATATCACGGCACACACAGTTTTTAACTGTTTTTGACGTTAATAAATCAATCATTAAACATATTAGTTCACTATTTACCAGTTGTCCCAAAGAGTACCTGATGCCCCAGGAAATGTGTGTTGTAGTGACTGGAGTTAGGTACAGGACTAACGCTAAACCCTATAGTACCAGCTTCCTACTTTAGGATAAAGTAGAAATTTGTACGATTTTGCTTTGCTTTTTGGTGTAATTCTGGTTTGCATCCTCTCCAACTGCACTATTCTTATTCGTTTTGGAGCGACACTAACCGACCCTATTCCTGTGCGTAGCAATTAGAATTCAAATATTTGTAATCTACTGGTGTTATATGAAAACAGACACATATTTATCTAGTATCACATAAAAAACAACTTTATTTGTCTGAGGAACCCTCAAAACGAATTTTATCTCAGAAATCTAGGCTTCGTTTTTTTGGACCGACTCCAATACTTTTTATCTTTTTTTCCGTACATGTAGCAGGACAGATTTAAAGTACGAACTTGAAAAACCAGAATGAAAAATTAATGCAATTCAACAAATGAAAGGAAAGAGAAATGTGCAAATGGGAAAGTATAAGAAAATGTCAAAAGAAGGAGGAATAAGGGTTATAGGGAAAAGGAGAAACAGGTAAGAAAAAAGGATTTATAAAGAAAGAAAAAAAACGTTAAAGTATCAAAATGATGTTGCAGTTCTGATTTGATGAGAGTTGTAATTTTACTTTCATTGACCAATCTTTAATCTAGTACATAGTTTAGAAACAGCTTCTTCAATTCTTTTCCATCCATCAAAATGCACCGATGGTGAGTAGATTTCAAAACATAGAGGTAGAAACTGTTGACTCATTTCTCATGGTGAAAGCATACTTTAATGTATTTTTAAACGAGCCAGAGTGCGGCTCGTGCATTAGGCTTTGATGACGCTTTGAGAATGACACGTGTGGCACAGTTCGCAGAGAGTGCGTATCAGTTCGTTCAACGAGGCCGGTAAATTGAGGGAGCGTAGTTACGTAATCACTGGCAGCAGTGAGAGAAATGGCTATTACAATGCGTTTCATTGACCGTTCGAAAAAGAGAGAGCGAGGTACAGGAAGAAACGGAAGAAAAACGCTAAGATTATGGGCGATGAGAGTGAAAGGAAGATGTAAATCCAATTGAACACAAAAAGCAGAAACGGTAATGTGGAAGAAGGAACATTTCGAAGAGCAAAATAATTAAAATAACGAAATTGGTGTTTGTTTTCTAGAAAAAATTGTAAAGAGGAAACGGAGAAATATTAAAATAAATAACTAAATAAAAGTAGTACCTACAAGGACTTATTTACTATTGTAGTTTTCTAGGCGATAAACCATAATCGTTTTATAAAGTTCTTCAGAATCATTTATTGGATTTGTTATGGGAGCAGATAATGAGTCTCTACGCTTAAAATTCCTTTGTTCATCATTTTTTAGTCGCATTAATGAAAGGTTTTTTTATGACGAAATAATGAAAAAAAACATTTTATCGCAAATAGGTCATAAAGAATTGTGCTGCCTTAATTAGAAATATATCATGAAGAATCTGTTCTGAAGTATAACAGTATTAATTACAAATATTAATGATGCATCAAGTTCTCTGCTGATAAATCGTACGTTCTGCTACTTTTAAGATATCATTAACAACAGATTATTTAAAATTCAGGAAACGTCAGTACATGACAAACACTCAAATGAGTTGAGACAAAAATGGCAAATATTATTTATGACATTGCGCTAGGAATATTATTTGCTGGAGTTTTGCTGAAAATAAAAATTCCTGATAGCCTCGACTTCCAATCTACAATCTCCATACTCTTCCACCCATTTCATTTTTTATTCATATTCGTTTAACAGGTTGTTTCAATTGCCCTGCAAAACAACAAACCTATTTATTCTTCATTTCTATTGTGAAACTCAACCGTTAATGTCAATTAACAGTACATCGAAGTATTTATAAAAATACCAACTAAAACACTCCCTAGATGCAGTGAACGCGTAAAAAAGTTTGTATTCGCGCTTTTTAAAATATATGTTTTTGTTTCATAATAACTTTGTGCCTCCGGCCTAACTAATGAACTGTCACGCCTACACTCCAGGGAACTGAATACCCGCCCACCTCTTTTCACAGCTACATAAGTGCTACAGTTGCCATCCACATTTCGTCTTCCCCGTTTCCTCGTCGACACCCATCCCTTGGCACTTTCGCCTTTCTCCCACTCTTCCCCACTCCCGGCCTCGTGAGGCACCGACCCCGTTTGCTCTCCCCTCAGTCTCGCGCTCGAGCGAACGGGAAACAAGACAAATGGAATGCTGACAATGCTGACGGATTATGTTGGGTCGGTTTGCGTCTGCAGTGCCACGTGGGCTGGCTATTTATCACGTGCGTCGGCGGCGGCGGTGGAGGCGGCGATGTCAGACGAAGGAGGCGAGAAGGTCATGAAACACCATCGTCGCTTCTCCCCGATTCTCAGCCCCTCTCCCGTACGATTGGCGGGGAAACACGGGAAGGAAATATGAAATCGCTCCCCCCACCCCTCCTTCTGCTGTTCCCAGCTCGTCTTTCCGCAGAACGCAGCCGACTCATTAATCTTGTTTTGGAAAGGATTTGTCTGGAGAACGTAATGCTTTTGCCAACATGACCACCGGGCTTTAATGAATTGATGTTCGAGGCAGTGAGGCGAGCAATGGGTGGGGAGGTTGCGTGAATCTGTAGGCTGCGGGAAATTAATGTGCTTGTAAGTCCGTCGATGACGCCGTCTGCGAACTCGCGCGAAGAACGCAGACGTTGCTGCGTCTTTCGCCTTGTGAGCGTTTGTCTCTTCGGGGCTTATTACCAAAGCTAACGTTTGGGAAATGATTAGACAAGGTTTTATATTTTCGTATTGACACACTACAAACGCTTAATTTTTTAGATTTTACATTAAATGTTGAACTGTGTCTTTGAAAATTTTACAATGCTTTGTAAGAAATACATCAATCACTTTTGTAGTAAATGTTTTGTAAGATTGGAATTGGCGATATTCTTGCCCCGCTGTATGTCGAAATTGGGATCCACCTACATGGCGGCCGTTTGGTGATTTCGTTTGTTCGGGGTATCTCCCTCATCGGTGTATCGCCCCTGACGGGGCAAAATGTAAGTTTCTGACAGGCCTCGCATCGTGTGTAGAAGTTAGTGTGTAGTGTAGTAGTGTGTGTGTGCGTACGTAAGAGGAAAGAATAGAAAAAGGAAGGGGAAGTAAAGATCTTGCGCGCACCTTGGCCCGTTTGTTAGGGTACTACTCCGTCATGCGTCAAGTATTGATAAGAAAAAACACTGAAAACTACCGATCAAAGCATTCAACTATAATTATTCTCCAGGCAGGTTCTAATTTCAACTCAAAATGAGACGAAAATCCGCCACAGTCAGAACTTGGTCTCCAAGACTTCGCGGTCAGTCACTGCAGAGACAGCGGCAATGTTGACTCTGTGCTAACTCAGCCGGTCACCAAACACCTGGATGTTGTAAGAGTATATGACAATAAAAATGTTTTGTGGAAGTTTTGTTGGAAAAGAATTTCAACTACTCGGAGTTTTGGAATATATTAAACTGTTTGCAATTTCACTTTCATCTTTACGACCAGGGTTTGGATCTCATTTCCGTATATGACGAAATCATTTTAACACTAAGAAACATTATAATACCTTGAATTGCATTCAGTCTAAAATTTGAAATGCGAGTATTAAAATCATTAATAGAAGATTGTCATCGAAAGCGAAGTTCATTTATGATGATGTTTAAAAAGTCTGTAATCTTTTTCGTTTCGATATGTTCTTTCCACAACCAAAAATTTTCTTTTTTCCTTCGTAACTGGTTTTGTATATCCTTCATTATATTCTAAATGTTGTGCTGGCTATTCGTGTCTTTAATCGACACGGTTGGAACGAACTTATTTTAAATCATCAAGTTGCCAACGCCCTTACAGTTGGACAAAATATGTTATGCTTCTCTCAAGAGCACACAACGTATAAAAGAAATGGTTTTTATTAATATTATTTCACGTTCATGTGCGGATACTTCATTAAGTATTATACTTGTAAATATAATGAAGAAGTAATCTTATCTACAAGTTACTGATTTTTAAATACTTTATTTGTCACAAAATGAAGCTCCAGCAATATAATGACGCTGAAGTCTGCCTGAGGTACTTGTTAAACAATAAATATTCACTGAAATTAGTGTATCGTATCACATTTACTGTTAACTTACGCTCGTTAATTTGCTCACCATTTTAATTTCGTCCGGGAATTTCACGTGTTCCGAGAAGGTTATCAGTGGTTTTCTGACTGAAAATGACATTGTAATTCCCGGTTTACGGACACATAATTGTTTACCCCCACGATCCTCTAAAGCGCGTTTGGAATAGTTTGATGATGATTACACACATTTCTTGTATAATTAAATAATTAAATTGCCCACGATGCAATAAATCTGAGAGGTTAATTTGAACTCAAATAATTACCTTAATCAATGTAATAGAGATGCTTGTTATTTTGGGTATATATTGCAGCAGATATCTTTCCCGTTACCACAACGAGTTTTGTACTTGATTTGATTGGAAGGCTCTCTTACGAAGGTAAGAAATAATAAATTGTGTTCTATTACTCCCTCGTTCCTGTAATGTACGTTTGGAATAGTTTGAAGATTATGTAAATATGTTGTACAAATGTGCAGAATTCTTCTATAAAAATAAACATTGTACTGTTGTTTGATTTCGTTCTTTTTTACAATGTCTGACTGAAATGTTCACCCATAGTAAATTATTTTAGAAGATACCTTCTGATTAAAGCGAAGTATTAATTGTGAATCAAAAGAGAGTAGTCATTTTATATGAGATTGTGTTGGCTTTTCATAAAATATCTAATGATATCTCATCGTCTTGACACCAGAAAATTTCTTTCACGATTTAGCTCAATTCTTCACAAACATGACGTCAAGAGGGAAATTAGTTTCGCTGATCGCTGTGGTGCTGTTGAGCACTGAACCAGTGGAACTCAGTTGGCAGAAATCCCACCCGCTGTTGAACGATGTCGTGAAGATGTTCGAGCGACAAACGGACACAGCCCAAGCTGTGATGCGGGTGGCGTCGCCCTTAAGGAACGCTACTTCGGAGCCCCCGGTTTTGCCAGTGGTATTCGAGGCAAGTGGTGATGTGGAGGGCAATGTGCTCAGGCTTCTTCATGGCAAACTTCCACCGTTGGTGGTTGTGACCACTGGATACAGCACCACATCCCTCCCTGCCCGCCACGCACTGTTCGCTGCAGGACGCAGTTTGCCAAGAGCGCGTCACACCCTTCTACTCACGGGTAGTGTTTTCCATACGAGTTTGTATTTGACTTTATACTCCTAGAGTTTGCATAACTATTGTTATAAGGCAAATGGTTGATTTCTATTTTGAAGTGAAACGAAACATTTTTAATCAAAAAATAATCAAATAAAGACAATAAATAAAGCGACGTTTAAGATATTATTAGTTTTTTTCGGAGGTACAACGCAAATAATTTGCGGTTTATGTACCGACCACATTTATTTATGTAATAATAATGCTATCAAATTATAAGATTATTAGGCCATCAACATAATATTATATTGTAAGATGATTACATTTGGTCAGTATATAGACAGTAAATTGAGTTTTTGCGTGCAAGTCATAGTAAACACCGGAAGGGTTGGCGTTTCAATAATTGTTTTGTTTATTTGACCTACACTCAAGATAATTCATATTATGTGATTATTGATTTATGTACTAAAGCTATATTATATTCGTTCATGTTGCTATATGGATAATTTTTGTTTTTCATCAACCCAACTGATGTTAATTTAATACTAAATTGTATGAATATCTCCTTATAAACGGTATTTTCTCGGATATATTTTAGAAATGTTTTAGCTATAACTAAAACGTTGGGATATTTTTAGTTGAACCAGTAAAGATAGAGTGACGTAAAAACTGACGTATTTGAAAGGTTCTTGAAATAATATGCAATTTCCTGTGAACACATGAATGGATAAAAACCAGAAAGTATAAGTGAATTTTTTTTAATTCTGAGAAAACGTCTTTATTTTCGGCAATATGCCAGTGTCAATGTATTTTCGTGAACGATTTGAAATGTTGTGGATTTAATAACGAACCAAAGCACCACGACATTACAATGCTATTGATTTAAATAAACAGATTTCTCAGAATTTAAAAATGTCACTTATACCGTCCTGGATTTCACCCATTAATACATAGAGCTGCGTCTCTTTTCACGCGTCACGTTAATTTGACTTGACTTTTTCAAAGTATACAACTGTTTGTGAACTAATTACTAAGTTTGACCTCACGTTTGATGCGTCACCCTTAGAAGCAACGACAACTAACGAGGGTCCTTTCTGTGTTTGCGCAGGTGAGGAAGCGCCGGCGCGCCTGCGCGTGGGCCGTTTGCTGAAGGCTCTGCGCGCGTCTCCGCTGTGGGCGGCAGCGGCGCAGCAGGTGGTAGCCCTGCCTGACGCGACCGCGCAGGTCTTACGGGAGGCGCAGCGCGCCCTCGCTCGCTTCGGCGTCGTACGGGCGCTCGGGATATCAGCCACGAACCAGCCTTCGCCCACCGGTGTACGTTTCAATACCGTCCAGCGCCCCAGCAGACCTCCTCCGATTACTCACGACCTCCGTCTCACGAAGCGGCCCGTGGACCTGCGGAACGCTCCTGTCGTTTTTGCGTTCGTCACCAAAGATCGCGCTGACGAAGCGAGGTGCATGTCTGGCGACGTTATGAGAAGTTACTCCGCCATGGATATCTACATTTCTTTTCTTATCGAGAGAAGCAAAGTGAGGGCTTTCTGCTTCACAAAAGCAGGGGTAATGGACATGCCGATTGAGTTCGTTGTCAAAAAACCCGGTGGCCCCACTGTACCTCCTGGGTATGATATAGATGTTGTTGGAGTAGCAACTTCCCTAACGGGATCGTTAGGTCTAGATTTCTTGTACCCACATGTCATAAGTCATTTGTGTCTGTACGCACGGAGAGCTCAACCTCTGTCCTTCGTACAAAGCTTGTTGCGAAGCTTTTCTCCAAGTACATGGATTGCGACGTTCGTGGTGCTAGTAACTGTTTTCGTTGTGCGGATGCTTGCGCGAGATTTGGGTGGTTTTGCAATTGCTTTGGAAGTTTGGCGTACATTTCTTACGGGAGCTTTCAACGAGAATCGTCGCGGAGTTTTGCTAGCCACGGGCTTGATTACTTCGCTATTCAGCGTAATCGTAACAACAGCTTTTCTCAGCAACGCTTCTAGTTTTCTGTCTGTACCTCCCAATGAGGCTGAACTACGAACTTTAAGAGATGTAATACGTCGTATCAAATACATTTACTGCGTGGGATCCGATGTTCAAGGTTACAACTCTTCTGAGAGAGATGAAATGTCGATTCTGTTTGAACGGCTCCTGTTACAACCTTCGCAGCTTGGTATAGTTGTTGGAGCACAGCGGAGTGCGTTCAGTTCAGATAGCGCCATTCTTCTTCCGGACGAATTGCATTTTTTCATAACTCATCGCCAAGAGATAACTGATAGCGGATACACTCGTTTGAGGCAAGTAGACGAGTGTGTCGTCACAGCACTACCGCGGAGTTATTTGGCTAAGAAACACAGCCAATTTACTGAAATATTTGAAACTATTTTGCAACGCGCTTTTCAAACAGGAATATTGACTTACATTCATGAGAGGAAGAAAGAATTATATATGTCGCAATCTCGTTTGGTGTCTGCTAGCACGGGTCCGGTTGTTTATCAGCCTTACGCACTTAGTTTGGAGCATTTGTGGGGTGCTTTATTTGCATGGGGATGTGGAATTTTGGTTAGTGTCGTAGCATTCTTTCTCGAAAAGTGTTATTGGGCTCTAAGCTTTAAGCGATTTACGTTCTATTGATTACTTCCCTATTAAACATGTTAAAAGTTGTGTAAATATTCTTCCTTTTCTTGCTGCACTTCAAAATAATATGAGAATATACTATCCATATATTTACAAATTTATCTTCTGTTTACGGTTATTTGGAAAATTGTGTTCTTTAGTTCAGTGAAAATGTCTTTGTGTTGTTCTACGAATATCCAGAAAAAACGACTGTATTGACAAGTAGTAGGCACGTACATATTTATTTAACTGATTTAGTGTAATACCAAATTGTTTTTAAACATTTTATATGCAATGTCGTAATTACAACAGGGAGTAAACAAATGAAGTTATTGAAGTTTTGTTTTTATTCATTGTATTTTTCGTAAGGGCTTTAGAGATACTTATACGTATGAGGGGGAGGAATAATTACTTCTTTGGCATCAGAAATTCGAGGAAAAACACAGAAAAAAATGTTAGGTTACACGACGTGACGTGTAAACTTTCGAAAGATCCGACATTCTACTTCTACAAAGTCCAGTGCCTTTTGACTACTCGAATCTGCGGTCTTATATTCCTTGATTTTCTAAAATTAATTCTCTCTTCTTCTTCTTCTTCTTCTTCTTCTTTTTCTTCAATTTTCCATCATGAACCATATGCAATTTAGGTTTATTGTATTATAACAGGCAATGTACTAATGCCTGTATGACATCTTGCGCCTGTTTCTGAAATATAGATCGTGTCTAAAAAACTGCTTCAAGAAAGAAAAAGATCTACTTTTGAATAAATTATATGACTGTTTTTTAAGTATCTCCGTATTTCCGAGATATCCTTTTTTAAGGGCCTTGCTGCCTCTTTTTATGAATTAATTACGCACATGGGATATTCTGAATATGTACAAAAATACGAGTTACTTTCATTCAAATGATTATTCAAATTCTGCTGCAAAACTTATCATTTTCATGAAATGGTATCAAAACAAGAGGATTTTCTATGTTATTTTAATATTTTTATTACGCGACACAATTATTATGCTTTTTGTTATTTATGTGTTTGAAGAAGATACAAAAGATAATTATTATATCCAATACGTTAAAGCTTCGTGCAGTAGCTCATAATTATATCATATATAACAAAGGTAATGTTTAAGTCAATATAACACCATTAATCATGTATATATATACAGTCTGGAAATACGTCAAACTCTTAAAAAGGCGATCGGGTATGGTAAATCGTGTTACAAAACGACAATTAAATCCTCGTTATGTCACTCGCTATAGAGTCGCGCTGCCGATATCTAGAACAATCAGGTAACTTGCACATAATAACCTCTTCCAGCCACTTGTAAGATAAATAACTAACAACTAATACATTTTTTTATCTATACGTCTAGAAAGTAGTATAATTATGTCGTTCACTTACAATCACAATGCTCTGAAATGTGACATGCTGTAAAGGTATCTTGTAATCGGTTTAATGGCATCACAACCCTTTTAATCGAGTTCCTCTCATGAAACATATTGGATTTTCAAAGTTTAGGATGTAACATACTTCAATTTAGTGGCGAAAACAAAGAAACCCGTTAAATATGTGAGGTAATTATACCACCATGAAATGATCTCGAGTAAATGTGGCTGCGAACGGCTCATTTATATGTTTTATAATTTATCGGCATCCTTAAAACGTAATTTCTCATGAATATAAGTGACTTTACACAGATTTCTCTAGTCGTTGATGAAAAAGGACTCTAGATAAAAGAGATGATATTGGCCATTTCCTTGGTCTGATACTTTTAGCCTTAAAAGCATTGGTGTGGATTTGATTCAGTCGCGATACACAGAATAATCATTAGATGTTTCATCTTTGTTATCAACTATATGCAGTTACAAGGTTTGTGTCCTTTACGAATAAATAAAAGACTGTGTGAATGCGGCATGCGGCGGCCATGCCATAAACCACTCACACTATAATTTGACGTCAGATAGCAGTAACGACCGAGCGTTGAAAGCATACCCAAGGAAATTAGAATAAAACCTTTCATGCAATTGTTCAATCGTCTTTAATTTAACATTGACTTATTACCATTTGTGCTGTTTATTTGTTGTTTCACTTCTTGGTCAGTGTGCTAGAAGTGAGGCTGATGAGATGGCTGGGTTTGGGAAGTTTCGCGACGCGTGTATTGTACTGGTTATGTTGGCACTATTGACTGGAGTTTTTTGCGACACTCCATCATATAGCCGTTTATTGCTACATGAAGTGTTGGAGTACGGTAAGAGAACGCAATGTATATCTAATGCCTTAAAAAGCGCCTTCTTGGGATCAAGAATTTTCAGCATTGATAATGTTCAATTGCCTTCAGACCCTCCAATCTTTCCTATTGTGGTGGAAACGGCCAGCCATTTAGAAAGTAGCGTTTTATCGCGAATGAGTGATTTAATGCCTCCAGTAGTTATTATCACTTACCGGAAGAGGCCTAATGAAAGATGTGAGAAATCCATGTCAACATTCGACCAGAACTCTGTTCTTCAAAAATCTTTTAAGAATACAACTTCCTGTTCCGTATTCAACAGTATGTCTGCAGTTAATTCCTCTAACGTGGCAGACATTTCAATGAAGTCCATTTCAAAGACTGGAGCTGTAGAAGGCGTAACTTCGAGCACCGCCTCTTCTGCAACCTCCAATGAGCGCGTGAGTTCGTCTCCGGCGGCAAGAAAATCGACAGTTTTCACCTCGTCGTATTTTCCAGCGCCCCCAGTACCTCGGCCCAAACATATCCATAGAGCGGCGCGGAGTCTCGTGTTCCTGCGAGGTAACCACTCCGTGCGTCTGCGGTTAGGCCACCTGCTGGCCTTTCAACGTTCCGCCGGCCTGTGGTCCGCCGAAGCGCAGCAAATAGTGGTTCTGGCGGACGCCTGCGAAAGGGCGTCTGCGCATGCGCAGCGAGCTCTGGCCCGCGCAGACGTCCTGCGCGCTGTGGGAGTTGCGGTGCCCAACACGACCAACTGCGCGCTCGGTGTCGCCTTCAACACGCTTCGACGCCCCTTCCGGCTCCCAGCCTTCTCCAGGCTGGCACCTTCCTCTTTCGACAGACGCCCACTCAGCCTAAAGGGTCAGCCAGTGATTATTGCAATGTACACTACGCACAAGTCCCAGCAAATCGATTGCCTGTCCGGGAACTTCAGTCGCAGCTATTCTTCCATGGATATTGGGGTTCATTTTCTGTTTGAACGAAGCCAACTGCGACCGTTGTGTTTTACTGAGCTGTACATGGGGCCAGGGGCAACAATGCCGGATGGCACTTTCGGACTTCTCACCGGACATTTGGCCGCAAATCGCGCTCAGATTTTGGGCTATGGAAACATGGGTGTGGCGCAGGCTCTGAAGAATTTTGATTTGCTGTATCCTCACGGCATGGCGCAGATATGTGTGTATGTAAGGAGAGCGCAAAATATATCTTTTGTAACATCGATGCTGAAGACATTTTCTCTTAGCACTTGGAACGCCATCGCTACTACTTTACTTATCCTTTGGATATTTCGAACTGTCGTAGGAAAAGAGAACCCCTTTACAGCAGCTCTGGATGTCATAACTGACTTTTTGTTGGGCTTCTATAAGACGAATCTTCGCCCAGTTCTTCTAATGGTCTGTGTATGTTCTTCGTTCCTGTCTGTGATTCTTGTTACTGCATTCAATAGCAAAGTCGCAAGTTATTTGTCAGTACCGCCTCGAGAACCAGAAATCAAGACATTGCAGGATCTTGCCAAACGAATCACGAATATCTACGGAAGTACCATTACAAGGCAATCTGTGGAAGGGGATAGTGAAAATGCCATTCTGCAATTAAGGGAGAAATATATTACTACGTACAGTGCTGCGGAGTTTTTTATTGCGGCCAAAACATCCGCTCTAAAAGGGCGGATTGGGGTCGTTTTGTCCAATGAACTTGTTCCGTACGTAATACTAAACAAAGATTACTCTGAAGACGGGTACCCGCTCTTGAGGCAAGTTGACGAATGTCTAGTGACGTCTTCGCCGTTGTGTTTTCTGGCACGGAAAGATTCGTTTTTCACTCATCATTTCGAGACTCTGCTCGGGCGAGCGTCGCAGTCGGGAATTTTGTGGCACATTGCGGAGAGACGAAAGGATGTGTCAGTGAGCGAATTGGGGCTCCTTCGACCTTCGAAAGGGTCTCAGCAACTTAGCACGCACGCTTTAAGTGTGCACGATTTGTGGGGCGCCTTTTTGCTTTGGGCATTTAATATGTGTTTGAGCTTTTTAATTTTCTTGGTGGAAACTTGTACCGGAAGAGTCAAAGATCGTAGAACGAATCGCGTGAAATACCCCAACAAATTATACTCATATCAGAAAGAAAAGTGGAGATACTCGCGTGAAATACTCAAACCAAATATTAGACGCTTTCTCAGATTAGAACAGAATCATTTTAGATTATAGATCAGATAAACGAAGGGGATAGTTGAGCGTCTATTTGCGAATTATAGATAGATAGATTTATTATTTCTGCAAGTAGGATAGAACCTGGTGGCGAACACTGCATTTTTACATATTACAACTAAGAATAGTAATACACTGTAATTTTAAAGCATTTTAAGGCAATAATAACAATATAACAAAAAAATAACAGCATTACCTATACACTTTATGACTGCCCTGCACGGAATTTTTAATTAATAAATACCTGCACTTCACTTCCACTTCACTACACTTGCATTCCATTCGCTACACTACACTTGCACTTGACTTCTCTATTGTTCTACACTCACAACACTTCACGACACTCCAATTCAACTACTACTTTATAATATAATTGTATATTTAACACACAATGTATTTAATAGTGATTATCACAATACTAATATTTAAAAAATAACAATTATAATAAAATTATAACTAAAATAATAACTATTTTAATGAAGTCCTAACTTATACGAAAAGTATGGGCGAATTATGCGAAAAGTATATTACAGCGTATAGTGTTATGGGGTTTGCTCATCGTAATGTTCAGTAGATATTTCATAACATAAAACTATTACATTATGACGTAGAGAAAATTAACATTTTAGTCCTAACTATTAGTTGATAAATGTCGTGTTGGTAATTGATAAATGGTAGGATCAGTTGGGATTAATATGCTACAGTCAAAAATGTTATTTTGTTCTTTGTTTTCTGTAGAGCAAAAGAGTTAACAAATATCTTGAAATAATTTTTAATTATTTACATTAAATTTACAATACACAAAATAATGAAAAGCAGTACGCCGAAGTAAGGTCCAAGGCTCTAGTGTTTAATACTGCTAAAAGTGTGTGACAATAACACTTCCAGACCCTTGTAAAATTCAATATTTTGGTTACATACGTTTTTTTCTCGTTATTACACTTTGATTTATGAATTTTGTTTATAATTTTCTATATCAAAACTAAATTAAACGATGCTTTTTTAAGCTTTTTTAAGACATCTTTCTGAAATACGAGACTGATCGGAAACAATGTCTTTTAATTTAGACCATGGGTCTCAAAATCGCGGGCCACATCAGGCGCTCGGCTGTATTCTGTGTAGCCCGCCAACCCATGGAATAATCTACTTCAATTTAATTGTGACAGAGCCAATAACATTGTTTTTAAAAATATGAGAATCTAATTTCCTTTGGTTACATCTCTTTGAACCACATATGAGCCATTTTGTGTGTGTCGTACCCCCTTGAATTCTTCATAAAAATCACCTCACTCTTAGAGTCTAAAAATGAATTTCGTTATTCTCATTGAAGGTACTTTTATAAATTACTGATCACATGTGATTTAGAAAAGAAGGTCTGTAATTAAATTTTGAATTTATAAAATTGTGTAAATTATTATAATTATTATGTCAATAATTGTGTGCTCATATACCATATATATTTTGAAAATTAATTTGTGAATGGTTAACTGCTTTGTTGTTCTTCAATTAAAATTTAATTTATGAGTTTAATTTAACAAATAGTTGTATCCTATCGTGAAATTAATTTTTTGGCCCTCGAGGTTCTTAAATCTTTTTATCCTGCCTCTCGTAGAAGAGAGTTTG